AAAATGAATTTAGTTTTTCCAGTTTTCTTTTTGTCGGCTCTGTGGCTAAGTCGATGCGAACGCTTCGTAATGCCGGGGTGCCAGGTTCGATCCCAGCTGCGGGCCATTCGCCTTGCTTTGGTTTCGACAGTGGTATCAGGGGGCCAACCGTCCAGAAAGCAATGGCAAACTACTGGACGTAAATTTGCCTAGAGAAACCACACAACAGCCAGTGGCTGTCGGGGTTGGTTCTGCAACGTCCTGTAAAGGATACGCAACTAACCTAAGTTTTCTTTTTAGTTATTTTGTTTCTTTTTTTGTTGTTGAATATTTCCGTAGACCTTACCTATTTTCATGAGGTTTGTTTCATATGTTTGTAAAACATATTAAATAAATTATGTTTTTAAATTTAGGAAGTCGGTATCTTCTCTGCCTTGCTGCAACCCCCCCTCCCCTTCTCACTATACATACCACTAAAGACATGGAACAGATGTTAAATGCATTTTTTTTAAATGCCTAAGGAAATTGAAGAACATTAAATTGGAAAAATTCAAGATAGATAAAGAAAAAAGAGAAATATCTTGACAACCACTTCAAAGTTAAAAAAAAGAAAAGAATGACATATATTGTTTACATCATGAGGAAAAGCAGACAGAGAATCACTTAACAGGCACTGAAATGGAACACAAATGGATTGAGAAATGAGGATGTCTAGAAGAAACCCTTAGGTGATCACTGTTGAGAGAGACCAAAGGTACAGGATTAGATTCCATCCATGATACTGAAGGGACTGCACAGGTTAGAAGGGAACAGACGAGAAGACTGTAAGCCCTGTGTGATGAATAATGTCCAAGCAGGATGATACCACATGTAGATATATCACTTTAATATCACATTTATTGCTTGTTTTCCCACATTTCTGGTAATTCATCTTGCTATAATTATTAATACGACATTGTGAAATGACTGCTGCTTCATGTTGTTGTCTGTGATAATTTTGTTTTATCAATCTTTCATATCTTCTGCATCATAAGTAAGTAAAAAGTAGAAGACCCTTTTTGTGCCAGTGGGCTATTAGGCATATGATGCTAGACTCATATTTGTATTGACGAGGGGGCTGAGTGGTCTCGAGGCATGGTATCCACCATGAGTGCTAGAGGTTCCGGGTTCAATTTCCAGTAAGGGCTGAGATTTTTTCACATAGACTTGTACTTCTAGTAATCCCCCCTGGTCTCTGGGTAGTGGGATCGGATGAGCATGTGCATTGTTGCGCACTTAAAAAATCCCTTGGCAGTTGGAAATCGAAAAGAGTAGCCTAATGGCGCTGCCTGGGCAAAATTTGGAGTTAAAAATCTACCCAAAGTATTTCAGGATCCTCGCCGGTGCACTGTGCTGAGCTTCTTCGGACTCAGACGAGTTAGAAGAACAGAGCACTTATGGGTTACTACCCGTGTGCCATGATGTTGACCCGTTGTTCAATACCTCAAAAACCTGTACTGACCAGCTGGCCTCCGATGGGTGGTGATGTGGTCAACCACCTTTACTTCCCCTGACTGTATCTAGGAGCCAATGACATTTTTGAAAATAAAACGGCTCAGTGCAGGTTTCAACCCAAGACTTCTGGGCTGTAGGCAGAGCACCCAACTGCTACACCACCAGTCTTTAGGTCCCTAAACCATTTTTGATAGCTTGAAATCTTGTACTATAAAAGAATTTAAAAATGTGAAAAATTGATATGAACTTGTCAGCTCTGAGTCAGCAGCTAAGTGTGCTCCCACTGCATGATTTGGCTCCATTTCTAAAGAATATAATTTTCATGTTTTTTTTTTTTTAAAGTCTCAAAATGTCTCTGATACTAAACAAGTTGGTAACAAGCAACTCTAAAGACAGGCTTTGACATACTAAAGACCCTTGTGCATTTTAATCTACTTTTACCCCCCTCCAGCAAACAGGTGTACTCTGTGCAATCTTTCTGACATTTGTTTTGTAATGATGTAGCTCCAGTTTGTAAATGATATTTAGTTTAAATGTCAAATATTGTATGTGAAAATCCCACACACACAAATACATGGTATCCTCTGTTGCTTATAATACTTGATATTTTGTTAATATTTCCTGCTCATAACAGTTTGTGATTTTTGGTCTCAGTTTTTGAAAAATGTCAGCAAATCTGTTGTTCCTGGTCATGTAATGAGTATTCAGCCTTGAAACACAAGAGATGTAGTGGCAATGAATACCAGAAACAAGCAAAAAGTTTGTGACTGTGGTAGGAATGGCTAAGTGGTACAGTGTGGGGTATGCCATATCATCATCATCTTCAATTTTTGCCATTAAGTGTTGTAGGGTAGGAACATTTTATGGTCCAGAGCTCGGTAGCACTGCTGTTGTCATTCCACAGGGATGTAAAATATCTGCAATGACATCAGTTCTTCTTCTTGGCTTAATCTTTACCTCCTCTTTTACCACTGCGAGTGTCAAAGTAGATATAAGGCTCTGCTACTTGCTCTTTTGGCCGCCTTGACTACAGACACATTGTTCTGTTGTTAAGTTTCTCTGATGCCATCTTATTCTTGGTCTACTCTGTGTTCTGCCCATTTTTTAATATATGCCTTGAATGGTATGGTGTCAAAAGGCATTCTGAGTGGGAAAACCATTTGATTTGCTGTTTTGTATGTAATTTAGAATTGGTTCTGTACTGACATTTTATCTTATGACCTCATTTCCGATTTTGTCTCTTCTGGTCAGTCATGCAGCTGTCACATTAGATCTTTTTCAAGTGTAGGCAAAGCTTATGTTGGTAGTTGAAGTGACTGTATTCTAACAGGATGACCAAATCATTTCATCTTTAGCTGATATGCTGTATCCAGACAGCGAATCCATATCTAAATATGTCTTTCTGACACAGCTGTGTTAGCCTCATGCACATTCTCTATTTTCTTACAAAAATTTAAAAAAAAAGACTTTCATAAACATTTTAAAACTTACAGATTCATAAAAAGCTGAATATGAAAACTGTATTTGTGGGCATGAAAGAGCTGTATGATGCTCTGAATTTATTAAAAAACATATAAAGCAAAACATAATAGACTTTTAAGACAGAATTATAAAACAGAGCCAAAGCTTGAATACTAACTGCAAAATAAAACATTTTAATTGTAGCCAAACCAGAGAAAGACTGATATCTTTTAAAAATAAGCAGAAACAATGTCAACAATTAATAATGTCTCATTTTTAATTATATTTAGGAATATCCACCAGAAAAGACTATTAATGAAACAACTTTTAATATATGGTCATATTGTTTTTATAGTTTTAGTACGACGATTCTTGTCAATCTTCCTTCATTTAAAAAGAACAACCATGAACACAAAACACTTTGCAATATAAATTTCTACATTTTTAAGCATAACATGTTTCATACAATATTTAACTTAGTAGAGACCCAAGCTGATTTGCTAGAAAATATAAGGTTAGTTGCGTATCTTTTATAGGACATTGCCCCTGACTGTTGTGTGGTTTTTCTAGGCAATTTACGTTCAGAAGTTTGCTATTGCTTTCTGGACGGTCGGCTTTCTTGATACCACTGTCGAAACCAACACAAGGAATAAGATTAGTTGCGTATCCTTTACAGGACATTGCAGAACCAACCCCAACATTCCCTGGCTGTTGTGTGGTTTTTCTAGGCAAATTTATGTCCTGTAGTTAGAAAACATATTTCAGTATAAAATAATGAAACGAATAAGGTAGTCTATCTTAGAAAACAAATGAAAAAACAAACTCCATGTGTTGGTTCCAGGGCCACATTTTAGAGGAAAAAAGTAGTTTCACTGCCCCTCTAACAAGCATGCTGTAAATGGTGAATGGGTTTGCTGAAATCGGATGTATTGGGCCAAAAAATGCATATATCACAGCCTAGCTGTAAACCACAACTCAAAGTGCCATAAGTATAAGTAAAGTAAAGGACCCTTTCCACGCCTTTAGGCGTATAGGGCATATAGGGCTAGACCAATATTTTTATAGACCAACGGCACAAGATAAGTGATGTGGTCAGCATCATGCCGGCCGCCTTTACTTCCCGGGACTGCACCCGGTACCCACTCAAGGCTGGGTCGACTTGGGGGCCAAGGTCGTTTTTGAGGAAAAGTCTGGCTACGCCAGGGAGCAAACCCACGCGTCTAGCCGCTCTGCCACGGCGACTCCCTCAATGTGCCATAGGTCCCTTTAAATGTGATGCAGAAGAAAAAATTTAAACTAAGTGGAAAAATTTAATGCAGACCATCAGTCAAGAATTTTGGAGATGTTAGGGGAGAAAAAGACTTAAAACTTAGTCACAACTAGCAAACTTTATGAGAAAAAGCATAGGGAAGAAAGATAAAATACCTAAATGGCATGTAACAGACAAGAATAAGGCAGACCTCATCAGTGATTGTATAAGATGGCAAACTAGGACTGCTTTTGTTGATTAGCATGGCACATGACAATAAAATGTGGAAATCTTCCACCCCCCCCCCCCCCCCCCCCCCCAACCACAGTCCATGCAGTGTGGCATTGGTAATCATGTCTGTCCACAACCTTCTGTCTTGTATATAATACTGACGCAGATGATGATGATCTTCCATGCCATGACGTCACTGCCCAGCAACTTCTCTCTCAATCTCCCTCTGCCTCTTTTCACCTCCAACTTTCCCACCATCCCAGTCTATTAATTTGTTTTCCTTCTTCTCAAAACATAAGAATGTAGATTGTCTCCTGATGTCGGCAATCTGTTCTCTTCGCGAATCGGTCTCTTTCAAGACATCTTCATTCCTCTTTTAATCTGTCTGGTATCCACATCATTCCTCTATAAAACTATATCTCCGCTTCCGAATAATTTTTCACTAGTCGTTCACCTGTCCATGATCCCCCCCCCCCCCCCCCCAAGAATACTTGATAATTTCTTAGCCTTGGATATAATAAACATTTCTTCCTGTCCCTGACCCATAAAATTAACTACCCAGAAACAAATGTTAGAGTGTTAAAAATCATTTCTTGAGTCCATTAATTGTAACCACTAGCTTTCTTGAACCTGCCAGAACAAATAAAATGTAAAACTTAATGATCGTCACAGCAGGATAATTTGATATTAGCTCTCTATTTTATTCTATCACCAACATCTCCAGACAGCAAAACATATTACTTGCTGGTACCTTTAGTGTCTAATTTTGCAGCCCCAACTCCTCAGACTGCCCTAAAAAGTGGTCAATAGGGGCATTAATAAAAAAAAAAGTGATAGTTACTTCTAAAAACACAAGATAAGATTTAAAAACCAACTGGCCTGTAGCAGTGTTAAACACAAAGACACTAATTCAGTTTTGCAAATTTCAAATTTTTAAAAACTAGTACAGAAGCAAGGTCCAAACCAGTACGGAGGCAAGGTCTTAACCAGTACAAAGACAAAGTTTGAACCAGTACTAGAACAAGGTCAAAACCAATACAGGGGTAAAGACTGAACCAGTAAAGGGGCAAGGAATGAACTAATACAGGGCAAGGTCTGAACTAATACAGAGGAAGAAATTAACCAGTAAAGGGACAAGAAATGAACTAATACAGGGGAAGGAATGAACCAGTCCAGGGAAAGGAATGAACTAATGCAGGGCCAAGGAATGAAGCAGCATAAAATAATAATTATTCTAGGGTTTAACAAAGACAAGACAACGTTAACCCTTTTGCCCCAGCAATGCTTACCCAAAAAAAAAAAAAACTGCTCTAATACAGTGGCAAGGAATAAACCAGCAAAAAAAAATTTTTCTTTTAAAGTTTTAACAAAAACAAGAGAAAGTTACCCTTTTGCCCCAGTAACAAACAAAAATATGGACATGACCCTGCTAAAATTTTAAAATACCAAACCATTTTACACTGATTACTAATAAATTTGAAACACATTTATTTACCTTTATTTAACATTTCTTTCCTCAAAATATAAAAAGATGTAAAAAAAATAAGTATATGAAAGCAGTAATCAGTGACATGATCAGGTTGAAGCATTAAATGGAACATATTCCCCGGGGCCTAAAAAACATATATGTCGGGAGACTTATACTGTGATACTGTGACCTCTATCACTGATGCTAATGGAAAACATGACAACCATTTGGCCCCCAAAGGACCCCCCCCCCCCCCAACAATTTTTTAGTTAATGCAGTTATATTCTGACCTACTAAAGTTTGCACGGGCGTGAAAACAGTCAATAGCATTAACTATGCGCTTCATAAACGGGTCAGTACAGATAAGTTAGAAAAGTGACATTTACTGGGAGCTGGGCCAAAATGTAAGCATCGGCTTTGGGGCTTCCCACGGGGAAAGGCTTTAGTGAACAGAAAAAGACAGGTAAATTTAATTCCTTAAGGCAGCATAAGAAGGTAAGAAAATAAAGAATCACCACTATTGTACAGCATAACAATATACAGTATTTAAATCTAAAGAAAAGAATAAACATTACCACAACATATAAGTCCTCACCTCCATGATCCCGGTGTTCACATAGCCAAACTCCCTGCCATGTTCCCATGTTAAATTTGCCATTTGTGATTGGCACAGTCACACTACTCCCCATCAGGGCAGCCTTGACATGTGCTGGCTGGAAAGTAATTCATGGGTTAACAATGAGCGGTCAATGCAAATATGAGAAAATATGAGTAAATTAATCTTAATAATGCTCAAAGGAACTGACTGCTGACATCAGGAGACAATCTACATTATCTAGTCATGTCATGAGAAGGAGAAAACTGGAGTAATCATGACAGTGGGAAAGCTGGAGGGGAAGAAAGGCAGAGGGAGACCGAGAGAGAAAATACTGGACAGTCTGACATCATCACATGGAAGATCATCTGTGTCAGAACTGTTTGAAAGTAAAGGAGACAGAAGGCTGTGGATAGACATAGCTAAAATCAATGTGGCATGACATGGACTATAAGAAACAGACTACTCAAGGAACATGAGACTGATAATCATTTATGTGCCATTTTGACAGACAAGGGTGATCCTGATGTGCCACTGAACACAACTATGAGTTACTTAGATCAAGTTCATGTTACCGGTGTTCTCTCCACCCAGCATGGATCAATATTCAAGATAACAGTAAATATGCTGGATCTTGTCTCCAAGCTATGTCGGCGTGGTGGGTAAGTAACAGGCTGACAGATTGGCTGGATCTGCACCACTTGGTGGTGAATTGATGCTTTATAAGGCAGATGTGGTCAAGGCCCTTTGGGGAAAAGCTTTTTATGGCCTGGAGAGAATGAGGCACCTGGGTGTAACTAGAGGGTCTGGCCGGCTCACTACACTCAGAGGAAAGGCAAGACGGACATATAACCAGAATGTGACTGGTACCATCAGTACTTAAACTCTGCGCTGGCTGCTAAAGATGAGCATGGTGCATACATGGGAATTCCCCAAGTGCTGTGATGTCAATTCTTGACTCTACTCAACTCAACAGTAAGTGAATTTATCTGAGGAAGACAGAAAGTGTCTTTTCGAGGAAAACAAGACATGTTTCTTTTAGCTGTACTGAAAAGTTAAGTTTTCCGTGTTATCCACTGAAAAAAAACCACATTGAGGAAAACTGAACAGGTGCAGGAAAACTAAACTGCTTCTTTTAGGATTGGACTGGAACAGATATTTTATTTCTAAGGAATACTCTTCTGACTGTCCCAATGAATTATGGAAAATGTATGTTCATGCACTGAGCTGAGATTCTCCTAGAGAGATTAAATTACTATTGGATAACTTCACAGTGCACTGAAGATTATCCTTGAATCAAATCAGAGTGAGAATCAGCCTGTGTAATTAGCTGCATAAAATACTGACTGAATTAGAAGAGAGATATTATTTTCTTCTCTCTGCAATATTATGCTAACATTTCCTAAATGTTTCTCCCCCTTTCTTCTTAAACAAACTTTTTCAAACTCTCTCACAGGCACTCCCCCCACCTCCCCCAGCAGCCAGCATGCACATGCACACTCTCTTATGTTGATTTTGGCAGATCTACTGTAACTTCCTTTTCAGGATTATTATATGCAGCGGAATGATCTAAATCTTGCACATAATAAAGATACTCAAGATTACAAACAGTATAGAATACAAAGAAATGGCCAAAAACAGAGAAAACAAAAATATTCAAGCAAGACCACAAAGAAATGCACATGTTTGAATAGTGTTTATCATCATCAGTATCATATAAAATATCACAATACTAAATCCTAAGTCTAATGACTGAAGTATATACTTCAAATAATTTAAAAAAAAACCAAAAGAAGAGAATATGACAAATGCTTGTAACAATAACACATAACTCTTGACCCATTAGGGTGTGAAGGTGTATGGATGGGGACACTAGCACACAAAATCTGCCATCTCTCTATGTCTTCCACTTGTTGAAGAGTACTATACAGGGTTCATAGCCAAATTTACCAATCAATTTCAAGGCTTTTCAAGGTCTTTTTCAAGGTCTCCTTAGTTTTTTTCAAGGTTGTCTCGGTGTAATACTGAAACAAGATTTTTGCCTTGTTCAAGGGTGTACTGAGCACACAAGGTACTTCACTTGTGCCACATGTGTTAGTATACCAGCACAGATATCATCATCATGTAGCATTTCCTTTGTCCTGACAAAAAAACCTCGGTCTCTCACCAGCCCTCCCGCCTCATGTACTTTTTTATACTCAAGGAGTCACTTATATCCTGTGCTTGATATAGTGTTTGAAATTTTTTTTTAGGGCTTGGTGGTAGAGGGCAGCAAACTGAAGTCCTGTCTGTTCTGGACCTGGTACCTGAGAGGGTTAGGGGAGAGAGAGAGAGTCATGAAGAGAGAGGAAGACACATGCTGAGGTAGGCTGGGAGAGACAGTGTAAAGATGGACAGATGAAGGTAGAGAAAAGAAGGAAAAGAAGTCTGGGGAAGGAGGAAAAAATGAGAGGGAGGGATGGAGACATGATGAGGAAAAGTGGGGAAGGGACAGCGAAAGACAGAGAGGGAGACAAATACAGAAAGGGAATGCAGATACAGAGATGGGCAGATGAAAAGAGAAGGAAAAAGGGAACGAAACAGAGATATGGAAGGAGGAAAATATGACAAAGAGTTGAAAGAAGGGAGACAGAGGGAGAGAGAACGGACAGGGTGAGAAGCAGATGCAAGCAGAGAGAGATGTAGACATAAAGGAGAGAGAGACAAAGGGACAGCACAGAGAGGCAAGCAGACAGAGGGAGAGAACCAAAGAAAGAGAAAAAAGGCAGAACAGGAGAATGGGAGGGAGGTATACAAAGAGGAAGTGACGAAGGGAGGCAAACAGACATAAAGCAAGAGAGAGAGAGAGAGGTGGGTAAGGAAGGCAGTGACAAACACAGATTAAGAGAGAGGGGCAGGAAGGGAGACAAGATACATCAAAGAAAAAAAACAGCCACCTACTCCCCCCCCCCCCCCCCACCCCCACACAATTTCAAGTGTAGTGGACACAACCACTAGGAAAAGAGTTATGGGGCAAAAAAATACGTAGATGAACCAGTAAAAAATGGGGGGGGGGGGGGGGGGAAGGGGGGAGAATGAGAGAGGGGAGCGGGTAAGGAAAACTAGAGAAAATGAAAAGACAGGATGGAGAGGAGACAAAGAAGAGATGGGACAGGAGAAAGGGCAAGGAAAGGAAGAGAGGAAGAATGGAGAGAGAAAGGAGAATAGTAGAAGATCAAAGGAAAGAGAAGGGGTGAGAGAAGAAAGGTAAGACACGGTTGTGGGGGGGGGGGGGTGTAAGAACAATGAGTGCCAAAAATAGAATTAGGAAATCTCTAAGTGAGGCCACTTTTCCAGTTCCTACCCTCTCCCAATGTGAATGTGGCCGTGGTCCAAAAACAACAGTGCTAACCCCTACTGCCCCTTGCTTGTCCTATCTGTGTGTGACAACAATAATTCAATTTCTTACACTTAAGGCTGGTGACCTGAGAGCCAAGGTCATTTTATGAAGAAAAAAAAAGTCCAGGCGATCCCAACCCACCACTGGTAGAAAATAGAGAAGTTTACCCACACACATAAATAGGTCAGACACATAAATAGGTCAGGGCAGCAGTGGACTTCGTTTTATTTCTGGTTTTCCAATTACAGAAAGGAGGGGAGAGAGGAGGTGGTGGAAAGTGGTGTAGAAGGCTGAGGTGGTAAGGGTGAGACAGGGGAGGTGAGAGAATAAAGTTTGAGAAAATAAAGTGGGAATGAGACAGGGAGAGAAAGAAGGGAGTAAGAAATAAGATGAGACACAGAGGGAAGAAGGTAGCAGGAAGGGGTGCACTCCCTCCCCTAGGTGTCATCAATGTGGGAGGAGAGAAAAAAAGGGGGGGGGGGTGACGGCAAATGTGTTTTTAAAAGTACACATATATTTAATGTGTGGGAGGGGGAAAAGGTGGACATGAAATGTTCTGCACTAGGCAACACATAACCTTCTACACCAACTGAAGGTATGGAGAAAGAAAGAGAGAGAGAGAGAGAGAGAGAGAGAGAGAGAGAGAGAGTGAGGGAGAGTGGCAAATACAAAGAGAAAGAGAGAGAGGAAAGCAGTGACACAGACAGGCAGAGAGTGAGGAACAGGTAGGACAAAATGTGAGGGGGCGGGAAGGGAGATGGACAGAGCTTAAGGCCGCTAGGAAAACAAACACATCAAAAGAAAATATCCACCATGTTCACACAGAATGCCCCCCCCCCCCCAATACAACTTCCTGTGTACTTGAGTTGCTAGGAAGAGTTATGGAGCCGCACATTTACTAAACATTTAAACAAGAAATAAAATAGGAAAAAGGGGGAGGGGGACAGGAAATGAGAGAGTCAATGGAAAGATAGAGAGAAAGAGAAGAAGATAAAGATCAGAAGGGAGGGTTAGAGACAATGCAGGAGACGGGAAGGAAGGAGCAATAGGTAAAAGAGTGAAAGAGGGAGGGAAGAGAGAGAGAGAGGGGTGAGACAACAGAAGAGGGAATCTCGGGGAATTACAATACTGATCGCCAAACACACTGTAAAGATAAATCCAGGCCAAAAATAGAACTGGGAAATCCTGCTGCAGTCACTTTGCTTAGCCCCAATGCCATCTCTAATTAATAGAGAAGGCCGTGCTTAGCACCCACCACGGCGACTCTATTTATAAATACAACTGAACCGAGCCCCACCATCTCCCAATGTAATCCTTTCTAGAAACCACGGCCATAAACGATTTTTACTGTTCATTCTGCCCGACTTGCTAGAAACAAAGGCACACACACACGCGCGAGACGGAATCTGCTACTTCCCGCCCCATGCCACACCGCTGCTGTCTGCATGTATTCATGATCTGCAACACAGCCCGCCCTCCCCTGGCCTTTGACAAGCCATTTCGGCTGAAAATAGCCAATAATCAGCTGCCCTCACACCTGAAACGACCATACAACGAAAGTAGCCAAAAACTAGCCAAATGGCCAAAAAAGCCAAATGGCTCCCCCAAAATTGCCTGTGCTGAGAAACACAGGATTTCTGACGATTTCATTGCCTTGGTCAAAATTCACGGCTTTTCAAGGTCGGAATGTCTTTTATAAGCTAAAATTCACGGTCCAAGGTCAACGAAAAAAATCCCGGTAATTTCCCGATTTCCCGGTCCACTACGAACCCTGAGTCTATAGTTTAGTACTGTCAATTTTTTATGATGTTTTTCTAGCTTCTTCTTTGTGTATGCTCTTGGCACAAGGCTAGCAACTGCAGAGAGATGTGAAGTCATATGGGATAAAACCGGTGCAATTAAGTTGATCCTATAAAGTTTAAACTTGGAAAAGCATAACTTCCCATTTCTTGCCTACATGACAGAATATAACAATAGATTCTAACAATACCTTTACTCTTATGGTCTAAATGTATGCTTCTATATCTTTCTTAACACAATGTATTTCCCAGTTATACTCTGCAACACTTCTGTCAAACTTACCATATCATCAGGTCCCTCCATTGTATGTTTATAATTCAGATTCTGAAAGTGAACAAAGTCGAAGAGGACAGTCACATTTTTGTATACGTGAAATGCAACCAGTGATTCCAGAACGTTTACATTAATTCTGTGTAAGGGCAAAGAAAGCATGCAAACCAAACGAAACCCTGAAGTTTAAACACGATTAGGTAACTCAGCACAGTTGAAAATTTTTTTTTTAAATATTCACCACTGAGCGAATCTATGTTTGAAGAGTAATATAAATTTCCAGTTCAGATAAAGTCACGTGAACCTGCAAACAGGTGATGCCATAATTGGGGATATTTAGACCAGTCCACAACTTAGAAGTCCAATTTTCAAACACAACTGCACATTCCCACAAAGAGACAGAACAAGCTGAAGTGTCATAATGAGCATAGGTTAAACAGGATGCCAGACTATGTGACGTTGTATATGCAATCACAAGGGCAAAGCATGGAAATTGGCAACAATTGTAGAGAATTCCTGAATGTTCAAGATATGGAAGGAAAATTGAAAGAAGGACAAAGATCGCCAAATGCACGACAGGACTGAGACAAAAAGACTCCCGTATAGAAAGGAGGTGGAGGAAAAAAGGCAAATGACAGAACATGACAGAAAAGCATAAAAGAAAACTTAATGCATTATATCTTTCCACTCTGCTGGGAACCTTCATGGAGACATCTACAGGCGAGACATTTGTTCTGTTTTAGAAAACGTTAATTCAAGGGATGCTAGTGAAGTTTTTTTTATATATCGGGTTTTCACTTATGAAACCATCACAGCTAGACAGTTATACATGGACATAACAGGGATGTATTATTGTTATGAGTCCCAGTTTGCACTGATTTTTTAAAACTTTTTAGCACAAACTCTTCTGTTTGGTACGTTTGAATACATGTTAACAGCGTTTTACTGTACTTGAATAATAATTTTAAAAATATTTAACAATTTACTCAGTGGCATATTTTGCTGTATCATGGCATGTTGTTTACTACAGTAACATTATTAAATGAGCAACATGAAGCAAAAAAAAAAAAATATTCTTTTTCCTCTTTTGTCGTCTCAACTGATACCACGTTGTGGCCGTGTTATAGTTTTCTGTACTTGTCTTGCGCTTCTTGCGTGGCTTGAGTGATGAATTTGTTCATCTTTTTGCAGGTTTCAGCTACATAATTTATTTGTATATTTCTTGGTCTTCCTCTCGCCTTCCTCCTAGACGTTCTACTGCAAAAAGTCTCATTTGCAGTCTGGTCTGGCTGCATTCTCACTAGATAGCGGAACCATTTCATTCTATCTCTGAATCATTACACTCAAATGTAACTTCATGTTCCTCCATGGTAAACTGATTTGTACTTATGCTTCATAGACTATAATAAAGCATTTGACCGTGTTAAGCATGAAAAAGTATCAAACTGTTAGAAAAATTAAACATTGATGGAAAAGATCTGCGAATAATAAAGAATATGTATTGGCAGCAAACAGCAGCTATAAGAATTAACAACTGTTTAGGTACATTTCAAAGCATAAAGAAGGGCGTACGACAAGGATGTGTACTATCACCTGATTTGTTTTCAATAAGCAGTGAATATATAATGAGATCTTTAATTGATATGCCTGGAATTGTGGTTGGTGGGCACAATATAAACAATTTACGTTATGCTGATGACACAGTCTTGATAGCAACAAGTCAGAAAGAACTACAGGAAATAATAGACATTGTGGTGTTAGAAAGTAGAAGAATGGGCCTCAGTTTGAATAATGGGAAGAATAATGATGGTATCAAAGAAACAAATTATTCCTAAATGTGTAATAAAAGTCGATGGTGTTATTTTCGGACAAGTACAGAAATTTAAGTATCTGGGCACATGGATAACATCAGATGGAAGATGCATAACTAACATAATAAGGAACAGAATAGGACAAGCAAAAACTGCATTTTATAAAAAAAAGAACATCTTGTGCAATATATCCTTGTCATTGAGAGTTAGAAAAAGAATTCTTGCTGGCTATATACATCCAGTTTTAACATATGGCTGTGAATCCTGGACAATCGGTAAGCAGTCCAAACAATTTCTTGAGGCCTCAGAGATATAGTTTTACAGAAGAATGCTTAGAATACCTTAGACAGCCAAAAAGAGCAACCAAGAGGTTTTGAAAGAGAGGGAGCCTGAAGACAACTTATAACAGACATCAGAAGGAGACAGTAATCATTTTTCGGCCATGTTATGAGAAGAGGGAAAATAGAACAGGTTGTGACCACTGGAAAGATCTGTGGATGGAGGGATATAGGAAGACATTGAGAGAAGATTCTTGACAGTTTTGTTGCATGGCATGGACGTGTGTCGGCACACGAACTGATACATGCTGCAGGAGATAGCAGATTGTGGAGAGCATGATCGCCCACGCCGGTCAGCAAGGCACCTGATGATGATGATATAAAATCAGCAACTTGTATTGACTTGAGAGACAGTAATTACAAAAAAAAGGACAGAAATACATTCAGAAATAATTACCTCTGGGGCAAGCTTATTTAAAACCATTTCCATGTCTGTTCTGAAAATAAAATAAACACAGGATTACACTGCATGCTTCTGGCAGAATGCTGAAAAAAAAATAAAAATAACAAAGATGTAAATATGACCCCTGAGAAACTAACAGCCAGTCTAGTTTTATTTTCATTCATCTTAGTAATTTTTGTCAAGATAAAAACTGACTGATAAAATTGTGCAATGCTGCATTTAATAATCTCTACATTATGAGTATCTGACGATGGGTACTTAAGAGGAACACTAAAGTGACAGAACAGCAAAATGCCATGTGAATTTGTATAGATTATAAAATTAAATATTCGGCTAGTGAATTTTCTTAATCCAGACAAAACACAGCTCTTAAACAAATGTTGATTCACAACAGATGGGAATCTGTAGTGGTACATTTCTGAGTATTTTTTTCCTAAGATTCTGTACAGAACATCGTCTTTATATACACACATACATGTGTGCACATGCATGCAGATCAATATATATGTCTTTATGCTGTCTTTAAGTTGCCCACCTATGTCTAATTTGTGTTTTTGGATGCAAAAAGTATGATTACCATACTTAAAGAAACAAAACTGGTCTTTGCAAGTACAGACATTTGCTGATTTTAGGAGCTCCAATCCACATTTCTTAAATTATTTTTGAATCCCTTTGAATAGTTTCTTTTTGAATTTCATAAATTTTGTATGAGATACTCTAACAATAACTTCACATAAAGACATGAAAGAAAATATTATTTACAAAATAGGCACTTACAGGACTGATGGATCATAATTCTGCAATTAAAACAAAAACTTAAATTAATTCACTTAAAATGCAATGGAAAATACTACTCATTAGAAAAAGAAAGGAAAAAAAAAAAACATTACTTTAACAGGAACATTACTGCAGACATCTCAAGTAAAAGAAATGCCATTTCATAGTTTTTCTGAGCACTTTGTTTTGTAAATATTTACACCTCAGATACCTTCATGTTTTAAAATCATTACAAAATACCAGAACAAGTAAATAATATCATCCTCTTTCTTCTTAGAATATAGGAATAAGAATGCTATTAAGAAAGGTTCAGCTCTTTTACCCTGTCCCATTATAATGGTACAAGAACTCATTTTCCCCATTACAGCATATGCCTTCAGAAGTGGGCTATGGTGAATCATATCTGATAATAATCATCATCATTATATAGCAGGTCCTTAACAAAACACTGCTCACATTACAACATGAAAGAAACTTCCTCACCGGCTTCACTACCTCATGCACTTTCCTGCTCAAGATTCTTATGATTATTTTCGTACCTTTCAGTTATTCAATTATTATTCTTTCCAAACCACTGCAACATCCGGCATGGCAAAAGTACTTTCGTTTCCAAGACAAGATGCTGTTTATGAGCCAATTTTCATTGATGTTCAGAACCTTTAGATTGTCAATATTTTCTTTTTCTTGATCTACTTAGAATATATCTTAGCATTTCAGTGCAGAGGACCTGAGTCTAATATTAATAACAGAAGGCTCAATATATCAACCAATTAGAATGTTAAAAAAAATAATTAAATGATAAGCTGTAAAAACATGTCTGCACCAGTACTGGAATAAACTAGGGTAGATTTCTCTGTTAATGTTAAAATTGCCATTACTGCCTGTATTTATCGCTTTCTGCGGTGTAGACTGTGGGGAAGGGGGAGGAAGGGGGGAGGGGTCTGTGAGCCTAATGATTTAGGGTCACATGGTTGGTGCTGTCACCATGGACTTTGCAGGTTAGGATTTTATTTGTGCCCCCACTTATAAACAACAATCAAAAAATTTTTAACAGAAGGGGGGGGGGGGGGGGGGGGTGAAAAAAAAAAGGGGGGGGGGGGGCACAGTTTGCACATTCCTGATTAGAAGATCTTGCGCAGGGTATCTAAAAAAAAAGGGGAACAAGTTTCAAAGTGGTAAGGTGAAAACTATCTTCATTCATTTCAAGACAACTTTCTGTGCATCATTATCATACTCACCTCATTTAATATTATACTTGCAGAGGTATGTTTTACTGAAAATAGATTGTAAAAAACATGCCAGTACACATCAATGAAACAGCTGTTAAAAGAGGCAAAATGCTGACATAATGAGATGATACATACAATGTAGGCAAACAGCAATATGCTGTTCACTCCTATAGATTTTAATGGGGATATATAGTGTCCATGTGTAATAGTTTCATCCTCACAGAGCGGCGTCCATGGCTCAGGCATTGCGAGTCTGATTCATAATTCCAACGTACCGCGATCGAAACCCACTGCTGGCTGTGTGGATTTTTATCGTGGTATGGGGCATCACAGGTCGACCCAGCCAAAAGTGGGTACCAGGATGTATGTTCTGGTGAAGTAAAGACGGCTGGTGTAATGCTGACCACATTACCCACCACGTGCCGACTGGTCTGTAAAAATATGGGTGCTCTTTCCACATGCCTAATGCACCTAAAGGCGTGAAAAGAGATCTTTACTTTACCATAATTCTCACAGTCAGACATTGGTTTTCTTAAGCAATGTGTTTATCATTATGAACAGAAACTGGACGTTTTGGCCCAGCTTTATCTTCTACCTTTTCCGCACCCGTTTTGAACTGTTAATACCAACTCTTGCACGAGATAAACACTGATGCCCATAAACGTAAACTCTCATCGATTCAATGGCCTCAGGAGTACCTGTCTGAGTTTTAACAGAATTAATGCCCCCCCCCCCCCACTCCCGCTTCAATGCTGCATATCATATGTAACGCCACAACTTTCACTAGCTAAACAAAATGGAAGTTACTTGTCTGCTGACAGGGTGACGTTACAATTTTGCCAGACCACAGATCAGTGGTTTCTGTTTGGATGCAATGTTTTGCTTCATGGATGATATTTATGGTTTGGTCATAATAAAACCGATAATTATTTTTAATTGTAAGACTGAATATTATTCTATTTCTAGTATAAGTCACAGATTTCTTCCTATATAGCAGGGCTATTAACTGGTGGCCCGCAGGCCAAATGTGGCCCGCACAGGCCTAGCAAGTGGCCAAATGTGGCCCGCACAGGCCTAGCAAGTGGCCTGCAGATCATTACCAATTGTATTAATGATCTTTCTATTCTACTGGCCCGTGATGATCCCTATTTTCAACATTTTGGCCTCCAAAGTAAACTTACTTGAACAGCCTTGCTGTATAGTAGTTTATTCCAGTACTGATGCAGACATGTTTTTACAGCTCATCATTTTATTTTATAACATTCGAATTCGTTGATATATTACATTTTAGACTCAGAAAATTTCTAAGGCATGGAATTTTAAATTCATGTTATCTAACACTGTTTTTTTTTTTAGGAGTAATGAACAATGTAAATGCAAATCTTCCCTTCAAAATTGTATATCACATTATTCAATGTAATTTCCTCTATTAAAGTTGTCTGCTAACAATTTGATGTCATCTGAGCTCATAGTTTTATGACTAAGTTTAGTGGATCTGCCTTTTTTCTTTCTTAATCCTTGATTTCGTTAATTCATATTCTCGCATGTGCAGGCATCTGATACAACAAAAATGGAGCATCATTTTGTGATTCTAAATATTTTAGAATCTGCTTATTAGGAGGGACCACTGACAAAGTCAATTAAAACTGTCAGCAGTCTGGACAGATTCTCATGGAACATTTCAACATTGAGTGGAGAAGGGAAACTCCCACAACCTCTGATTTCTGGCAGGCAGTGTTTGGATGAACCAGGACACGGATAGGAAGACTCCGTAACTTCCTCCACCGAAGACGGACATGTTGGCCTGAATGGCGTGGGCACCCAGAAATGGAAACGGACATCAGCGCAATATACGCTTAATGAGTATGCTTAGATACGTACACCATTATGGGGCTGTTCCTGTGGACTACTGCCAGGCGGGAACAGCGCCAGATTCCGAGCCTCGAAGGAATCCACCCCAAACTACTGATGCATCGGCGGACCAGGATTAAGCAGAGTAATGCGTCTGGCCACAAAAATACCAAAACACTAAAGATAATGCAATGGAACGCAAAAAGGGGTCATGATGAAAAAGCTTGAACTGCAAAAATTCATATATGAACACAATATTGATGTTGTCTGCATTCAGGAAACCCATTTAAACATAAGCTCCCGCTTTTCTGTCAGAGGCTATGAAACATACAGGCTAGACAGAAATGGCCACAAAGGAGGCATCTTTACATTAGTTAGAAATACTATTGCAGCCACAGAAACTTCAAGAAGCATCAGTGAGTCTGAACATCTGACAATAAAACTGTATATCCTTCCGGAGCCGCTACACGTTATTAACTTTTACTGTCCCAACAACAAGAAATTGGAACTAGAATACATACAAGTAGCTGATAAGAGCCACATAATTCTTGGTGACTTCAACAGTCATTCCCCTAGTTGGGGCTATGCTTCTATGGACACAAGAAGAGAAGAGGTAGAGGAATGGATGATAGAAAACCTGCTTATACTAATAAATAAACCTGACTCTGAACCATTCTACTCTAGACGATGGCGAACAGAAAGTACACCGGACCTAGCTATAGCTACAGATAACATCCAACGCAGGGCAGACAGAGAAGTGATGAAACAGCTCAGAGGAAGTGATCACAAACCAGTCATCGTCATGATAGGAGAGGTCAAGCCTCCAGAAAATAAGAAGATAGCCAGCTGGAACTACAAGAAAGCAGACTGGGATCTCTACCAAAATTTAACTGAAAAGAAACTATCGGAGCCCTTTAACACAAATGAGGTTAGGAAAAACACCACAACTCTTACTAATAGCATACTTACAGCAGCACAAAAATCAATCCCCCAAGGTCGAAGGCAAAACTATGAACCCTTCTGGACCCAAGAACTGCAACAACTGCACCAAAGAAGCACCGAAGCAAGAGAAAAAATGGAACATGATCCCTCTGACCTCAACATAACAGAACACAATAAACGTCAGGCTATTTATAGAAGAGAAAAACTCACATGTATCCGGACAAGATGGCAGGAAAAGACTGCAGCTCTCAACATGGAGAAAGAAGGAAAAAAGCTATGGCATCTAGTAAAGAGTCTCAATGAGGAGAATAATACCAGCCGTGCCCACACTGTCATTGAAGATGGTGGGAAAACTTTCACTGGCAAACAAGCAGCAAACCTGATGGCTGATAGTTTTGCAGAGGAAAGCAAATTCTTTATGTCTAGAGAGAGAGAAGAAGAAGTGATGAGAGAACTGAGGAGAATAAATAAGAAGCAAAAAGATTACCAAAATATAATAAACTCCCCAAGAACTTGAATGTGCATAGAGACTTCCTTTACAGACGCTGTGCGAGAGTCAGACTGGAAGATCACAAAAGCAAGCTGGTCAGGTTACGAAATCAGACGAATGCTAGAAATAAAGCCAGTCTTCAGTCTTACAGGTCATCAAAGAACAACAAATAAAGTGGTTTAGTTTGGACACCTAACAAGAATGCTCTGGTACTATCTGCCACAACGAGCCACACTAAAACGTTTATGGGCTATCCTCCAATAAAACTAGATGGTTAGGACTCATGAGCAAAGCTGCAGGAGATGCGGAAGCTGCTGCTCGTGAGTCTCTGCCATCTAGCTCAGCCCTAATCCACGGCGCATGAGAGCGGCGTGGGGGATACTCTCGGCGGTGGTGGTAGTCGTGGAAAACCGCAAATTAAGTCACCGGAAGTGCGCAATTGACACGTGACTGAGGCTCTGTTAGGTCGTTTTTGCGGCCGCCATCTTTTGTGTCGGTTATTCGGAGGATACCCCGTGAAAGTCGGAAAATTGTGGACCTCAGTATAAGAAAATCTAACTTAAATACAGAGCTGAAAGAGGTTATATTACTGCCAGGAGGTCATCGACTCATTCGTATGATACAAATGACGGGTCGAATGGAGTTGGGCAAAACGGCTTATTTTAACAAAACGAAAACGTCAAAACGCATCTGATTTTGATTCTTCGGATTAGTGTGTACTTAGTAACTTACTATGAATATGAGCTGTCCCAAACTTGATCTGATTTAACTCTTCTTTGCATGCTTTCAGTATATCGTCTGATATATAATGACACCCTCTTTTTTTAGCAGGAATAGTCACTTCTCTCTGGTACCACAAGGTAATTCCTTCGCCACCAGTCGCCATATTACTCGGTCCAGCTGTAAACATTGAGTTTGTGCCCTTTGAACTCTGAACCCAGGGAGATAAAAGAACAAGTCCTTGTTAACTGTACCTTACAATACCCATTTTTTGCGTTTTAGGGGTGCTTGATGTCTTCTAAACAAAATCAAATCAAAGGTATTAATTGACACTTATAGAAGCAGAGAAAGAGAGTGCGTCTGTTTCCTCCGAGCATTAATGTCCTTTGGAGGCTACAGAGGGAATCCAGTCCAATCCAGATCCTTTAATTTAAGTTATTTAATAATTCATCATGAAATCAGACGAATGCTAGGAATAAAGGAAAGCCAGTCTTACAGGTCATCAAAGAACAACAGATGAAGTGGTTTGGACACCTAACAAGAATGCCCTGGTACTATCCGCCACAACGAGCCACACTAAAACGTTACAACGGGTATAGAGCAAGTGGGAGACCTCGGAAAAAATGGAGTGATGGCATTAACAACAGCCTTACAGAAATGAACATCAGTCTAAATAGTGCTCTTGACAGAGTTCATTAACGAACATTACATCTCCCCCCGACACTTCGATGAGGTACAAGGTGGAAGAGAAGAAGAGGAATAATTGTGTCCTTTACTTCTATTACCACCTTCAGGCGAAGAAGAGGTAGACAGTGATAAAAATGAGGATCGCCGTGGAGAGGTCCCAGAAACCGCGTTCAGACATTTGGCCATATTTATGGCCTGCCTATATTGCGGCCCCTGGCAAAAGCCAGAGTAGGGCTTCAAATGACAAAAAATTTCGTCCTGAAAAGGACGAAACTGGATTAGGTTAATAATAATTATTATTATCATTATTATTAACCTAATCCAGTTTCGTCCTTTTCAGGACGAAATATTTTGTCATTTGAAGCCCTACTCTGGCTTTTGCCAGGGGCCGCAATATAGGCAGGCCATAAATATGGCCAAATGTCTGAACGCGGTTTCTGGGACCTCTCCACGGCGATCCTCATCCGCATGGTGGCACTTTGTGTCATCGGGTGTTTATCGCTTGTGTGATGTCCTGGTGGGGTAGAAATTCATTCATTCAAAAGTAAAATATAGTAATTTTTTGTTGTTGCTACCTAGCAATAAATGTTTCTTCCTTTTTAGGACGAAATTTTTCTTTATTTGAAGCCCCAACCCTGGCTCTTTCCAGGTGCCGCAATATAGCCAGGCCATAAATATGGCCTAATGGCTGAACGCAGTTTCTAGGACCTCTCCACGGTAATCCTCACCCACATGATGACACATTGTGTCATCAGGTGTTTATCGCTTCTGTGATGTCCTGGTGGGTTAGAAAGTCAGTCAGTCAAAAGTTGAATTAGCTTTTTCATTGTCTAGTCATCTCCTTGTGAGATGCAACTTTTCGTTATTTGAAGCCCTACTCTGACTCTTGCCAGGGGTCGCAATATAGACCGGCCATAAATATGGTCTAATGACTAAACCGGGACCTCTCCACAGGTGATCCTCATCCACATGGTGGCACTTTGTGTCATCGGGTGTTTGTCCCACATGTTTTTATGAATATAACACAAGAGGCGGTTTTGTATATATTTGCAATGTTTTTACTTGAAGCGGAATACTTTAACTTGCAATGTCTAATGTCTTTAATTCTGAAATGTAAATACAATGAGTGGTCCTTTTCTCCTCATGCTCTGCCCCTCTCCCCCTTCCCCACCCTCGTCCGCCTGCTATGTTTTCGTCCCCTTCTATTTCCTATTTGTTTTTATGTTCGCAATGTCACACATATGCCTGCAACACGAAATACCAACAAACGGAAATATATGTAAAGAACACTGAACAAAATACGCACACCGCAGACACTTGCATTTATAAAAAGTACAATACAGTTTACACACATATTGTATACAGACTATTTTACACACGAATAAACTTATGAAAACTTAGAAGAAAAAAAAAGTCGTGCTCCCAGGATGAGGCCCTTACATTGCACTTCGGTTGGGTTGACGCCTGCGATCACCCCAAATGTGGGTGACTCGAGTGCGTATTTTTTTCGTAAGGGGGACTGCGCTCGCTCTATCCCCTCCATCTAACAAAAATAAATCCGAAGAGATCAGTTTCTAAAGCAAAAAGAGGACTCTAAGACAAGGATGTGTACCTTTACCTGGTTTGTTTTCATTATGCAATGAATATATAATAATGAGATCTGTTACAATACAGATATGCTTGGACTTTTAGATGGTGCTCATAATATAAACAACCAGCATTATGCCGATGACAATGTCTTGATAGCGACAAGTCAGTAAGAACTACATTAATTGATAGATACGTCGGTGGTAGAAAGTGGTAAAATGACCCCGAGTTTCAAAATCTTGGCACATAGATAACATCAGACAGAAGATGTGTCACATAGATAAAGAACAAAATAGGAGAAACCGTGGGTGTCATTTATAAAATGAAGAACATTTTGTGCAATAAATCCGTGTCATTGAGGCATAAGGGGAAAAATGAAGCATAGGCTGAGCCGATATCATCAACGCTGTGTAGACTAGGTTGGTGGATAATGGCGATTCTTTGACGATGGCATGACTGCTTTACAGAGGAGTGGCTTTTTGCATCGAAGGACTGAGCACTCGCGGGGATGCCTAATGTGCAAAGACTTCGATTGTGATAACTTAACATAACGTACGATTCTTCTTTAATACCACCTATCAATAACACAAATTTCTCACTAATCCGCTGACTGTCCGCGGTTCACTTCCATACACCAGGATCTCTGCTTCTTTCCTACCTTGTCTCCGAGAAAGATCTGACTAAATGGCAAAGATAAAAGATCTGACTAAATGGCAAAGATAAAAGATTTGACTAAATGGCAAAGATATTTACATAAAATATGTTCATCGTTTGAAATGCTGATTTTGTTTTGGCGAATGCACATATAATCTCTTTAAAGTGCAAAAAAAAATTTGCATAAAATTAAAGGGAAGCAATTTAACATTATTTAGCAAAAAGAGATAACTCTAGCATAATACTTAAAATATCTGTTTCTGTGTTGTTACAGCGGAAACGCCATACTCACATTTAGGGATATAAAATTCTTATTAACATTACTATTTTTAAGTAATAAATTTGATCCATGCATGGTAATGAATCAGAAAAAAATAACTAATTGTGTACAGTCAATACAGCGTTACTTTAAAAATCTTGCTACAATTAACGCCTGGGGCCAAATGTGCACAACGATAAATCATACTTACCTGGCACAGGAGCTACGATGATCATCAAGGTCGTGCTCCCAGGATGAGGCCCTTCCATTGCATTTCGGTTGGGTTGACGCCTGCGATCACCCCAAATGTGGGTGACTCGAGTGCGTAATTTTTTCGTAAGGGGGACTGCGTTCGCGCTATCCCCTCCATTAACCAAAAAATAGTATTTAAGATTTCATTCCCGAAGCAAAGGAGGACTTTAAGACAAGGATGATCACCTTTGCCTGGTTTTTTTTTCATGTTGTGAATATATAATAAGATATGCCGTTATTTGTTGTGTCGAAAAATATTTTAATTTGTTCTACGCGGTTTCTGGGACCTCCCCACGGGTGATCCTCATCCGCATGATGGCACTTGGTGTCACCGCACCGGGTGTTTATCGCCATGTGTGATGTTCTGGTGGGTTTAAACTGACCTTAAATACTAATTCACATCCATACCACGTTGAAAGCGCAGGCGCTTTGTTTACATTTGCCCTTTTTCTGACTACCGCCAGAAGGGCAACGTGATGGCGCCCCCCCCCCCCCCCCCCCCACTTTTTCCCCATTTTCTCTTATTGGAACTGTGTTTTTGTTTCCTTTCGTTCGTGTAATGTAAATGTGTGAATCCCCAATCTTCCATTTCCCACATGTTTTATAAATATAACACAAGTAACGGTTTTGTATATATTTTTACTTGAAGCGGAATACTTTAACTTGCAATGTCTAATGTCTTTAATTCTGAAATGTAAATACAATGAGTGGTCCTTTTCTCTTTATGCTCTGCCCCCCTCTCCCCCTTCCTCGCTTTCGTCCGCCTGCTATGTTTTCGTCCCTTTCTGTTTTCTATTTGTTTTTATGTTCGCAATGTCACACATACGCTTGCAACACGAAATACTAACAAACGGCAACATATGTAAAGAACACTGAACAAAATACGCACACCGCAGACACTTGCATTTATAAAAAGCACAAAACAGTCACACCCATTGTATACGGACTATTTTACACACAAAAAAACTTAAGAAAACTTTAAAAAAAAAAATCGGGTGTTTGTCATTTGTGTGACGTCCAGGTGGGGTAGAATGTACTACTAATACTACTACTACTACTACTACTACTACTACTACTACTACTACTACTACTACTACTACTACTACTACTACTAATACTACTAATACTACTACTACTACTACTACTACTACTACTACTACTACTACTACTACTACTACTACTACTACTACTACTACTACTACTACTACTACTACTACTACTACTAATACTACTACTACTACTACTAAAAGTTGGATATACACATATACGTCGTCCCCTTGTGGGATGCAATTTTTCGTTATTTGAAGCCCCACCTTTGCCTGGGGCCCTGATTATAGATGGGCCACAATTGTGGCAATAATGGCTGAAAGGGCTTTCTGGGACCTCACCACGGGTGATCTTCATTCGCATGATGCCAATTTGTGTCACCGGATGTTTATAGCTTGTGTGATGTCCTGGTGCGGTACAACAAGCAAGCAAGCAAAAGGTGGATATAGAGTGTACACGTTACAACATTTTAATCCCTATTGTTGAATGCAATTTTTCGTTATTTGAAGCCCCACCCTGGCCTTTGCCTGGGGCCCTGAATATAACCGGGCCATGATTGTGGCCATAACGGCTGAAAGGGGTTTCGGGGACCCCTCCACGAGTGATTCTCATCCGTATGGTAAAACCTTTTGTCAACGGGTGTTTATCGCTTGTGTGATGTCCTGGTGACGTAAAATTCA